CATTTTAAAATATTCATCATCACTTTACCTATTTGCACTTTGTATGGCTTTTTGGACTGATTAGTTTATCTAACACAGTACATGCAGTATCATGACCTGTTCATTATTGTCAGTAGGATTGTTAGTAGGATCTCTCCATCTGATAGCTGGTATATGTAGGGAGACGGGTTGAAGAATTAAATCAACTTTGGCCAGTTTGCTTGGAAAAGAGGATCTCTGAGAATAGTTCACCTGCTGAGAATTACAGGGCAAATCCATACGACTGTCTTGATTTGGTCCTGTTTTCTATGCACATGTCTGAAAATATTTGTATATATCTCAGTGCAGCTAACCCAGCTTAAAAATTACTTAAAGCTTTACACTTTGGAAGTGTATAACATTCATTTGAAATCTGGTCTCCTTTTTTTCTTCTCACTGCATCATTTGTCAGTCACTTTTTTGCCATTATTTTCTGTCAATTGGTCAATGGTTGAAGAATATGATTATCATATTTCATATGATATTTCATCTTAAATGCTGAAATAACATGGGTAGTCATAGTTATAAGTTCTACTGGCTTCCATGAAAAGTACTGATCAATCCAATTAAATGCCAAACTACTCTCCATATTTGAGCTTTGATTCCCTTCCTTTCTCCTAAGATCTTGAATATTTGGTGTTTTAATGATTAGGCTATGAAAAATTGGAATTTGAAGGAGAAAGGTCCACAAGAGCACCTATGCAATCCCTGCCAGAAACTATTTCAATTAAATGTCTCTTTTTGGAATCCTGCTGCAGCTAGTTTAAAGGATCATCAACAAAAATATGTGAGCACCTTTGCATGCTCCAAAGCACCCTTTCCCCTTGAAATCCACAGAGCCCTACTTAAGAACACCATAGGTAAGAAATCTCCAAGCAAGGCTCTGTGATCTATAGATCTCGTTGCTCCTCTACTGTGGTTAATTTGTTCTAGCTTTTTCCCTTTCTCTTCTGAATTCAGATAGTGGAAACAGTGACTCTTGAGATGAGGAAATGCCAAAAATATTATCGTGAGCATGCAGGTTATTCTAAAATGTAGATTGTCTTGGAATACAAATATTGGATTGACTCATGGTTCTTAGTGCATTAACTCAACAAAATGTCTATGTCTCTTAGATCTGTAATCTTTAGAGACAACCTCTGAAAGCTTCGTTCTAAAAAAAGTTGAGGGAATAAAGCAAAATTTGACAAACATATATTTCTCTTATAAAAGTCCTCATAAAGCATCTCTCTGGGGAAATAATTTCCCAGATACTCAAAAGACACACTTCAGAAGCAAGGAATATTAGAAGCATATGTTTGAAAAAGACTGGAAAAGAACATGAGAGTTTTTCAAAGTAATGTAATTTTAGAACATGGCAAAGAAAGGGAGAAGGAAGTAGGTAATATTTTTAGGGATAAACTAATGATAAGTATTTGTCCCCATCTTCTTCCACTCTAGCTGAATTCCATACATTTGCCCTTTCAAATTTGCCTTTGGAACTGTTCTAGGAAGAGCAGATGGAGATAATGTTATGGAGGGAGGGTGAAGGAAGATGGAGAAGAGGTTAAGCAGTCCCTGTTCAGTTCTGCATTCTACAACCTATCTGTTACCAGAAACAAAAAATGTTTGTTTTTAAAGGGTTTGTTTTAGGCTTTTTCACAGAATGTAAATTGCATCTCATGTAGTTTCTCTTTTTACATTCATTTTTGATGTATACACCAACATTCTCCAGCCTGACACTTCAGGCTTATTCTGAGCATTACAATCTGGAGATTGCCAGATTGGAGACAGCTGATATATATGGTTTTACATGAAAATTACAGAAACGTTGTCACCATTTAAACTAGACAAACAAGGCAATTAATGCACGCAGCAGATCCCTTAATTGTGTACTGAGAAAAATCACTACTGTAGCATTACACAAATCTATGGAGACCACTATAGCATTTTTTCTATATATGATTATAGGGGATTATATAATTCCTTTTCATATAACCCCACCATTTTCTCAGTTTAAATATTAATCCCATACTTACCACCTAAAAACCTGAGGATAGGTTATCCCTAGGCATCTTTTATTACCCAACCCAGTTTCTTTCCTATATGCATTCTTACCAAATTATTACTTGCCTTGCTTCTCTAGTATCGATTCTACATAGCCCCTGACCTTTCTTTCAACACTTTCTGTTAACCGAGCTCACCTAGTCACTTTTGTGTCCTACAACTCTGAACTGGGATTGGCTATAGCTGTATTGCAAAGTTTCTCCAATAGAATTGTATAATTTCCCTCCATCTTGAAAATATGAAGCTTTGAATGACTGCATTTTTTAGTCTCTTAGCAAAGTTAGAACAATCAATTTAAGATTTACGAGTGTGTATGTGTTTAATTCATATTCTTTCCTCAAACCAGTCAAATTGTTGAAATGAAACTAGGTGCCAATTTAGTATACTTTATCCTCGATAGAAAAAGGAAAAAAATAGGCTTCCACCAAGCATGTCTTAGTTAAATAAGAAACATACACTTGGAAATGTGAAGATAACGAGACTTGCATAGGTGATGAAAAGCACCTCCCCTTTTTTTTTTTTTTTGAACAGCAGTTTGAGCAAAGCTCGATTTGAACTTCACATTTTAAAGCTGCAATTAATTAATGAATCAGCATGCAACAATCCGGTAAACCAGCATGAGAAATCAGTCCCAGGCATAAAGATGAAAGCATAGCTGGGAATGACTTTTCTTGCAAGGAAGAAAGGATTCTATTCTACAATGTAGTCTGGGAGGCAGGAGGGCCATCGCAAGAAGTGCCTGTTATAAAGCCAATTTTCCCAGAGTCAGAGAAGGAAAGCCTTCCAGGGTTTTTTACACCTGAGTTGCTGCATTCCCCCCCCCATACTCCAAAGGACTCCATGCTAGTTTCTATGATGATAGTCATATCTCTAGCCCTTCTGTAATGAGAGAAAAAGGAAGGGAGAAAGCTATTCTCCAGAAAGAGCTGCTGCCTCTGAGGAGAGTGGCAAAAACTACCTCTGGGACAAAACTAACCTGCCTGGAGGAAACAGCTAGAAATGTGTCACAGCAACAAGCCTAGAGGGATATCCAATCTCATACCCAGAAGCAAGATAGGCTTCCGAAGAGCAGGACATGGTAGAGTTTGGCTGGCTCAGGCTTCACAGGGTGAGCTGAAGGAGAGGGGAAAATGGGGTATGAGACTCTTGTAACACAGGGGCTATATTATGCCAGGCAACAGAAGTGTCCCTGACCTTCTCTCCCCTCCTATATGTGTAGAGCTGGATGTTCTTGAAGACAGGTAGAAAGCAGCAGAGATCCATTTTTAAAATGAATATTAGTTTTGCCAATCTTAATTTTATATTCAGGGTCCAATCTAAGTTGGTCGCTGGGACCAAAGGTTTATTCTTCCAAGCTTTCAATTTTATATTCAATTTAGCAGTCAATGTGAGCAAAAAGCAATGACGGATGCGGACTATGAAACACATATTTACAGGCTTTAAGAATCACTTCTAAAATGCTGCCATTGAGGTTCAATAGTTAATAGACTCCCAAAACTGGGAGAGAGAAGCGGGCTCTGCCTATTCTTAAATCTGATAAACTCTTGCTCCTGTTTGGCAGGCTGAGCTCCTCAGGTCTTCCTATCATACTTTTAATTGTTCTCAGGTGGCTTCTTCATCCAACCTGTTTGACTCCAGGCTTCCCCTATCACTATTTTGATATCCTGAAACTTATTAATCATTTAGATAACTGTAGATTAGACTAGCTTTTCATAATCTAGTACCCTGAACATAGGTTGGGTCTGGCAGGGAATTCTAATCATTTCGATCCCAGCACACCCAGAAAATGTCAGATTACAATGGCATAAATTAAAGTACAGTACATCAGGTGCAAACAAGCCTTCCCCAAACTGGTGTTCTGCAGAGCTGTCAAGACTGCAATGCCCAGAATGCACAGCCACAGCTGGGAATATTGGGACCAGAATTGACCCTTCTGAGGTGAGTCCAGATTTGAGGAGGGAAACTGAGCTTCTGCTAAATACCAAGCATACCTACAGAGCAAGTTTTGTTTAAACAGAGGCAATGCTTTGACCCTAACTTTCCAGTTCTGGATTCAAATCCCTTCCTCTTCCACACAGCACAACGAATGGCTGAGGATAATCCTCTCCCTAATTAACCTCACAAGGAACTACGAGGTCCTTCTGAAGCCCACAGGGTCTCTCCCCCTCCTCCAGTCCAAGGTTTTTCTTCAGAAACTGGATTTATGGAGTTTTTCCTCCACAAACTACCAGACCTGGGACTAGGCTAAGGTTAGGGTTAGGGTTGAAACGGACACATATCGGACTTGCTTCCCAGGAGAAAGGCATCTGCTTGTCTCCAGCTAGCGCCCAGCGCCTACCGAGCGAGTCGTGCACACAGGCTCCCCGAAGGCGGCAGCGGCGGCGTTTCAAAGCGGCCTTTCCAGCCCTTCCAACCAGGTGCGAGAGGCGGCCAGCGTCCGCGGCGGGCGAGGAAACGGCAGGGGGCTCTCCTCCCCCGCAACCGCCCGGGAACAGCAAGCCGTTGCAGTGGGTTTGCCCGGCAGTAGCTCCGGCTTCGGAACGACAAGCCCACACTAACCTTGCACGGTTAACGGCAGCCCGGGCTCGCCCTCAAGGTTCCTCGGCTTGGCGGGAAGTGAAAGCCACCTTTCCCGCGCGTTCACTGCTCCTGAGGGCTAGGCGAAAAGCGCCTCGCCGCCCGCCGAACTTCCGTCCTGGACTGGGCAAGAAACTCTCTCCCCGCCCTTCCCACATTTGCCCCCCCCCCCCCCGGCCGCCCCCCCCCCCCCCCCCCCCCCCGTCCGTCCCCCCCCCCCCAAACACAGCCGCGCGGTTCTCAGCAAAGACTTGAGGGAAGGGACGAAGCTGGAAACTTTCCGGGCTTGCTCGGGAAGCGCAGTCCCACAAAACAGCCGCCCGCTGGCTGAAAGGAGGGTAAAAGGGAAAAGCGCTTACCCGGAGCCTTACCTGGGCGGCGGCGGCGGAGGAGGCTGCCTCACCCGCCGAGCTGGAGGCAGGCGGGGCGGAGGCAGCCGGGCGCGGGCATGACCCCCGGGTGGACACGCTCGGCTGGTCTTCGGGCGGAGGCGGCGGCGGGAAAATTTCGGGTAGCGGCCGAGCGTCCGCGGCTGGAAGCAGCGCAGGAGCCCAAGAGGCAGAGCGGCGGCGGCGGCGGCGGCAATACAGGCGGAGTCAGAGCTGAGCTGGGGATGCGCCTGAGAGAGCAACGGGCGGAGATGCGCTGCTCCTCACGGCCCCTCCGGCTGCCGCAAAGCCTGGCTTCTCCTCCGGACGAGAGCGCCCGCCACTCGGTGCGCCCGCCGCCTCAGTGGGGCGCTGCCAACGCGGGGCTTCTGCTCCCGGCGCGTTTCTTCTCTTTTTTTACTTAAGGCAGAGCTTTTGCCTTTCCCTCCTGCGTCGCCTCCCTTTTCTTTCAGGGCTTCCCAGCTCTGTTTTAGTCAACGGCAGTCAGGAAGCATAAGACCTGTTCCACAGATTTTGCTCCATCTTTTTGCCCCCTCCTCTTTTTCACACACACACACACACACACACACCCTCTATCGTTGAAAGATCTTTAAACAACCCAGTCCCATGGATGTTTACTGTAATTTCAAAGTAAGATTCATGGTCGTTAATGAAGCTTCCTTCTAACTGCACATCTCATTTAGCTTGTTGACTCGATTTATTGCATAAACGAATCAAGTTTTATACCAAGCAGTTGTCTCTTATCTTGAAACAATTCACATCGGCGATTACCAGGAATATCAGTATATTTATATCAGTACAATTCAACATCTCCTTTTACATGCCCCCTTCTTCCCTTGATGCAGAGCAGGATGTATCAGTGCAGTCCCACCAAAGTTGCAACCTCCAGATGTTCTCACCTTTTCCACTCGGTGCCAGAGGATATTTTCAAGGAAGTGGGTGAAGCAGTTTGAACTAGTGTAACCAAAACTGTTTAAAAAAAATAATAATTGTTGAATGTTAACTTGCACCTCTCTCAGTATCTTTAACTATAACATATAAACTAACTCACTACTATGCTGATTCTAAGTGCAATTACCAGAGAGTAAATTTCAGTTAATTCAATAGGTAAAGATTGGGTGCAGGAGAATTTTTAATTAATGGCAGTCTGAAAAATAAAGAATGGATAAAAACTAATATTTTTTTTAAAAAAAACATGGCTAATTAATTCAGTCTATCTGCAAAGTTGTTTAGATTCAGTGATGGGCTGCTTGTAAAGATCCACCTTCTCTCAACCCCTTTGTTTGGTCAATCAAGGGAAGAGGATGACGAGAAGAGTGGTGGATTCTTGCAGAAGCTCAGTCAGATTCCTTTATGACTGCTGTGTGTATGCCAAATATTCCTTTTAAACAGTTATCTCCTTTGTGATAAATGCTGAGCAGACCAACAACTGGACGGGGAGTGGATGGGTGGGATGGATAACTCACCTATGTCTCTAAATTCTGTGTAAGTGAAAATAAATGCAAGTAAACTTCTACATCCTTATATCTTTGTAGACATCTCTGTTTTAGTTCCAGTAGAATTTTATTCCTGCGTTATTGAACAATTGTATGTGCGTGTATACTGCAGCTGATTTATTGCAATGTCAAAGGGATTTCTTGTTTGATCAAACCAAAAATCATCTAGGTTTTTTTTTTGTTTTTTTTTTGCCAACAGCCAGTTAGATCTCAGTGAAACAACTTATGATGATACTGAGTTGCAGAAAGACTTGAGTAATTTCAATAGAGAGTAGATTCATCAATGGCCATTACCTATGACTTTTGTACTCCATGTATAGAGGCAATCTATCCGTGATGAGCACAGGCTGATGATAGAAGCAAAGTATGATTACGATGGCTCCTTATATTTGTTCAGTTTCAGCATCTGATATCAGATGTTTCTGCTGAATATGGAAATTCAGTTTGGGGAAAGATCAGCTATATCTTATATAGACAAGATCCAATCTTGGCGTCTACACTTAAAAGAAAACAAGTAATGAGGAATTCTGCTCTTAGGCTATACTAGGACAAAAAGGTGAGTTAGATCAAGAAATCAAAGGCACCATTCATCAGAATGAACAAGAGGATATCAGATACAATAAAGTGATTTACCACTTGTATAGATCTTAACACGGGGCATTTCTGAAGGCAACCATAAATGTTATTCCATCCTGTATTCCTTAACTTTATCACCAAGCATCAAAATATATTAACAAGTCTTTCTGCTCTGTCTTTCCCTATGGAGGAAGAGTGTGGAGTTGGTCTGCCTCAGCAATTGGAAGCGTCAAGAACAGAATTTATCCCTCCCATAGCAATATATTTCCTATTTAAATAGCTTATTCATGTGGATTTTACTTACAAACTATTTTGGAAAGTATTCTTAGGTGAAAATCTGGTTCAATTTACAATTATCTAACCTATTGTGTAATACATTTTGGCACGATGTTTAACAAGGACATCCACTTCACTAAGAAGATAAGAGGTTTTGCATTTTGGCTGTGTTGGACACAAGAATTTTCTGGACAGAAATGCAGGGATTTTCTGGGGAAGGTAAATATGCCAAGAGTCCTTGTAAGAACTCTCATGAAACTCTCCTTCACCTCCTTGATTATAAAGATAATTGATACATGAAATCCCTTGTCCGTTGCGCTTGCCTAGGTCCACAATGAAGCTATCGGTGCATGATGTAACAAGGAATTTGTCCAGTTACTATTGTTATTATTCAGCTGCTCTTCTAGAAAAATATCAGCAGGTTCTTGGTCCACTTTGTTTATGACAGTTTCTCTGAAATCATTAAAATCAGTCATGTACACCTACATTAATGAGAAAACTCCCATGTACTCACAAATACTCGTCCCCAAATGCTTATTGCACTAATGTTTTAAGCTGCCATCAGATGGTATTTAATTTACTTCTTTTACATTATATATCATCCTTCCCTAACTTTCCCTTCCCCTTCCTTTCCATCCTTCTTAGAGCTGTTCTGAGAATTGAAAGTCCATTCTGGAGAGTGCCATATTGAGAAAGGCAGCCTTAAAGCATTCACTGACTTTATCTCTTCTATTGCCTGAACATTTTCAATCTAGTATTCTCATTTTTTATCCCTGCGATCTAATATTGCTTCTCACCTGTTCTATTCTTCAAGGTTCCCAAATAATTTTCGAACAGCTATGTCATGCTGCTTTTATGCATCACAATTTTAAGATGTATGCCTAAGTAGTTAACTATACTTCCCATATAAGCCTTTATAAAGAAAATAAGCTGTGCAAATTTTGCAATGAGAAGTGAAATGTTTCTGTTGGGGAGAGGGAATGAGAGAGAAGGATGATTAAAGTTTTATTTGTCATTTCTATGTTTTATATGATTCCTTACATTGTGGGGTCCTTGGTGCTCTCTGAGCTTGGTTGTTTTCTTGCAGACATTTCATTATCCAACTAGGTAACATCATCAGAGCACTGATGATGTTACCTAGCTGGATAATGACCCCACAGTTCTACCCTGAGATACAAATATTCTCTTACACTGATCCTTCCATTGTTTTCCTTATTAGGTCAAAATACATACTTTTTCCTTAATTTTAAATTTGGGGTGGGGAGAATCATGGGGAGAGGGAGCAACTTAAACTGGAAATATGGCAAGTGGAGAAGAATGATACCCCTTCTCCTCATTGTTTAAAAAGCCCAGACCAAACTTTTCAATCAACCAGCTGAAAAACTGCTCAGAGATAATCCCCTGAATTTATTGTATACTTGGCCTCAAAGATTTTAGATATATATCAGCACATTGCGAAGTCAGATTTTTTTATGGGTTAATATTAGAGGTTTGAAGAGACAGTTCTACTTACTGTTCTATTATCTCAACACTAACTCAAAACTACTTTCAAGTGATTAGTGTGTACAAAAGAGCCAAATACATCCCAAGCGTACTACATTAAAGTATTATATCACATATTAGCCCGCCTCAAGTTTATTAGGTTTTTTTCAGGATTGGGAGTCTTAAAATCTTGTAAATGCAACTCCGATATTGAAAAGAGTCACTGATCTGTGAGACCTTGATAAGTATTGAGTCATACACAGGTCTAACATAAGTATCTTGTCTAAAATAATCAAGAAAACTCTCTGTTCTGACAGTGAGAGATCCTCCAGAGCCTCCCAACTCCCAAGAACATGGTCATCAACAAATCAGAGGTGCACAACTATGCTACACAGGTGAGTATTTAATACTGTGGCTTCTATAATTCATTATAATACATGGAATTCACCCTGAATAAAAAACCTAATTTCAGTCATTATAAATCTAGGATGAGAAGATGCAGTATACAACATTAGACAACATTACTGGCATGGTACTACTGTTCTTCAGTTCACCTTCCAGATTCAGCCATGATTCCATGCTCGGCCAGGGGACTTAGCTCCAAAGCAAATGCAACCATCAAGTTGGGGAGGAGTGATATAGGTTTACAGGTTTCATTTCCTTTTTGTTATACTGAATCAGACCACTGGCTCTGTTTACTGCAGTTCAGTGTTTCTCTCAAGGGTTAAAGCAAAACACTTCTTCAGTCACTCCTGATTAATTTTATTAAACTGCAGAGTCTGAACTGGGACTGTTCTGGTTCACGTATGGTATCACTTGGATATGGTTTCTTTTCAGTGAGCATTTTCAGGTTTTTGTTTTTGTTTTTTGTTTTGCTTTCTCTTTGTAGCAACATATGACCCTCTGCCTACTGGGACAGAATTGCCACAATTGGGACTGACAACTCAGTTGTTACGCAAAGCAATTTTTAAATGAAACCACAACTGTGTTTATGATCTTACTTCAGTTTTCCTTTGCTTTACAGACCTGTGAAGGTCATAAAAGATTGGTCATAATGTTACATTTTCATCACTGTCTTAATTGTGAATGGTTCCTAAATAAGGCAATTGCACTTGTTCCAGCTTCCCCTACCCAAGATGGCCAATGATCAAGCATGATGAAGCCTTTAGTTGTATAACATTGCCCATTTCTACTTTAGACTGCTGCAAACTTTTGCCATTTACCCTAAACACAACATTCGTATCCCTAATGCCACATTTCCCAATGTCCAATATAAGGCAAGTAGTTCTAATGAACTATCACAACAAAAAGTGCAAGATCTTTGCAAGAGAAACATTTCACACAAACATTACAGAAGAGGAGCTAATGGATTAATTGTTATAGGTGGGCATTAATTCATGTCTTTCCAAAAAAATTCTGCTAAAATAATTTTATAGAAGATAAATACGTTGTTGACTCATGTGACTTCTAGTAACTTCATGGATCCATATACGTTTTTTGGCAGCAGCACTGATATGGTTTCCCTTTGCATTCTTCTGGGTTGTTTTATTTCCTGGTCTAGCCTACAGTCCTTGGATTTCCCGAGAGACTCATTCTCAACTGAATGTGAAGCAGACCTGATGCTGTTTAATTCCTGAGACCTAACAAGTTTACCAATGCTTAAGTAAATCTCATATAGTAAGTGATTTCAAATAAGGCATGATTTCAGAAATCTAGATTTTTTCCTCAAACTATTACTTCTGC